TGGGTAGAGTGTACTACAAAGATGAGGTGTTGAAATGAACCCTCAGGGGGCACCTCCTTATTTGGCCTAAACAGATACATGGTTTTCAGGATCTTGACGGTCTCAAACAGAGTCGACATTTCCACTATTTAACGCCTTTTGAAAAGAGGGTGTCTTTTTGGAGCGGAAGCCTTGAGAAGAATGTCAAGGTTGGCGATGATTGGCTCATATTTGCGGTACCAAACATCTCTTTTTTCCAAAAAATATAATTCCATGATGTTAGTTTGAAAAGATATTTAACAATAACAACAGCAACAACTTAATGCTTTATGCGAAAGGAAAGGAATCAGAGTCATAAAATATGGTTTCCAGTCTGAAAAAGATCACGAAATGAACTGTTTTTGGCTCAAAAAGGGTCAGGCTTTAAAAAAGTAAAAAAAGTCTCGCGTCCAGACCTCTGCTCTAATATAACGTCCCTTGAGCGCCTCCATCCCACTCCTGGTGGTAAATCCCAACTCTGTCCAACATGTTGCTTGGAAAATTTACGTTGAAGAGAAATCTCTGCTTATAATCTGTTGAAAATGATATACAAGAGATCGGATACGCTGTTGTGTACAACTGCCTACCTTTAAATTTGACTAAAAGCACGAGATTGAGTACGCGTTCGACTTTGAAATTTCGAGCTTATCATTTCTTAAGGATGCCCACTCTTTCCATTTCCCGACCATCCTATAAAGAAACCGCGAAAGGGAGGAGATTGCAGCAATAAATTGTTCTCTAAATCACTTGAACTGAAAATTCCTACTTGCGCTCAATCTCGCAGTTATCACAACGTTATTTTCCGCAATTAAAGAAAACCAAAATTAAACCAACAAAAAAGTGGACCTAAGAGGACGAATAGAAGAGGGCAAAGGTGTTCCCAGATTACCCCGCGTGCTTTCGTTTTTGGTCCTCGTCTCATTCTCCTCTTCTAAGCATAGTGATCTACTGTAGACACAAGAGAATCCGCTGCCCGTATTTTGGAGACTGATTATTGGTCCAAAGGCATAGATAGCTCAGTCTACCGTCAGTGCACTTTGTAAAGGTTCTGCGGTGCATCATAAGTAGTATAGTAAGGATGTTTTGCCCCGGCTTTTTGCAGAAGAATGCATAAATACCGATTACGTCATAGCCTGTTGTCTTTATTCCATGAATAAAATGCGGTTTGACAATAAGGTGTCCGTAATGTACAAAGGAGATTACTTTATTACATTACAGTTAAGTGATTCTAAGTCACAGGTGAATTAGCTTTTATTCCTTCAACAACATGAATCAACCAAGGAATACTTTTCTTAGTTTTTAGTCAACCAATACAAAACCAAGACATTCATCCACTTAAAAAACATCTAAAATAGCACATGACCTTATGTCAATGAGAATCTACAGCATTTTTTCATGAGATAAAGATGGGCTTTGATAGATTGTGCTCGCAAAACTAGCATAACATGCTTCTTCCAGTGTTCGTATATTTCTAAAATTATGCCAATAATTATTCTAGTTTTTGTAGATTATGCTCATTTTTGTCAAACTACAGAAACTATGCCTCTTGTTTTTCTTTAAATTTGTTAAAGACACCTCAACAACTATACAGCAAACAAGTAAAAGGCAAAAATTTTTCCCCTTTTTAAATCTAGAAACTTAAAAAATGCACCATTCATTGTCTGACAACTGTAAGAACTCAAACAGTTAATAACCAGCACGCGGACGCCCTCTTGGGTAACCGAGGTAGTCATTTATGCACAGGCGTTGAGTACTCCGGAAAGAAGCTTGAGTCACTTCCTAGGGAACCCAGATCCCATGAATGTGACTTTTGTTTGCATTTTCATCAATGAATCACAATTTTGTGCTGCAAAACTAGCCAATGAGAGCAAATGATGATAGAAGAACGTTTTTCCGACACTAGACGAAAATCATGCGCGTAATGACGAATTATGCTAGCACAATCTATCAAAGCCTAGATAAAGACCATGACGTCATCGGCGTCAATGTATTACTCCGCAAAGTAATGAGATTCCTCCCAAGAAAAACTGAGTAAAACATCCCTAATATACTTCTAGCAGACCCCAGAGTCGCTGTTTCGATTAATTTCAGCAAAGTGAAAACTGTTAACTAAGATACTTAATACGAGTACAGCACTGTTTTACTTTTATGTGGTTGGCTCAACAACCGGGCAAGAATAATTGATACAAAAACAAAATAGGACGACTACTCTTTTCATCTACTCTCACTATTGCGGTTGACTATGGAGCTTTTATACGAGCTGTAATAACAATAATGAACTTAAGCCTTCTCTTCACAAAAATTTTGAGATGCATTGAAAACTACTACGTAACTGTTCTTGATAATCAAGATAATGTTGTCACACGCAGCTCACATGCTGAACATTAATAGAACTGTTCCCAGTATAGCAATCGTTGTGGCTTTTTTTGAAGGTTTTCTTCTTATCACAATTCTTGACCGACCTATGTCGATTGGATAAACGCACAGATGAAGCTGGGAAACTGTACCTGCGCCTAATCAGGCTGAAAACGTTCTTCCTTTCTCGTAGACCCTTGAAGATTTTCTTGAATGCTTCTTTGAACTCTTTACTAGTGAGATAATACACCAGTGGATTGGCCGAAGAATTGATGATGACGAAGAGGTTCACTAGACCCAATACCAGGTTATAGTACTTATTCTTCCAAATATCCTGTTTTATCAGAAACATCAATCGGACAGCAGTCAAGGGAAACATTGCCACACCAAACAATATAACGAGAGGTGTAAGAATGCGTGCTGTTTTATTACTCTTTCTCCATATTTTTTCCCGTTGTTTTTGTCTTGAAGTTACAGTAGATGGTGTGATTTTTGAAACGTCAAAGCTATATTCAAGGTTCATTGAGTTATGGAATTCAAAGCTCTCTTTCACTCGTTGTCTTATCTTCACATAAGTGAAAGTTATAACAGTCAAGGGAAGGACATACCATACGATGACAAGAGCTATGTTATATGTATATTTGTACGATTGGTTTGACCAATTATGCCTGCACATTGATGCGTCCTGATCGTATATCATGATAGGGTACAGAGGAACACACGAAACAAGAAACGATGCCAACCACACCGCAAAGATTCCAAACGCAGTCCTTGTTCTAGAACTGTTCCAAACCTGATATCGGTTGGCACCGACGATATTTCTATACCTTTCGATTGCAATAACTGTTATCGACCAAATAGAGGCTCCGAAAAATATTTCCTCTGTAGGAATCATGTACAGGCAAAATTTTTCCCCCAGTAGCCAAACAAATGGTTCAATGTATTTACATACCGCCACTGGATAAATGATAACCAGCACCCCCAAATCGGCTATGGCCAAACTTAGTAAGTAGTGGTTCATCGAGGTCCTCTTTAGACGCCTTAGAATCACTATGCACACTAAAAGATTTCCAATGACTCCCAAAAATGCGATCGTTGACCACAATGAGATCTGGAAAATGGTGGCTGCCAGAGGTTCTTCAAGGTACGGTGGCCGAGTAAAAGAAGAAGGTTGTGTAATTTCTTCATTTGCAATATTAGCTGACGATGCGTTAACTGTGGCATTACCGAGGACAGCCATCGTCGACCTGAAAGAAATACAAATGCTTTAATTTGCCATTTGTGAGAATTAAAAGGAACGAGGTTGGCTGAAAAATCTCATCCATTTTCTCGGCCAATATGGAAAAGAACCAATTAAGAAATGTTAAGCGTGCAGCGTGCAACCATGGAGCTATGGATGCACGAGGGAGGTTGCTAAGCACGAAAGAAGCGTAAGAGTCGCACGCGGCGATAGCCGAGTGTGACTCTAGCTTCTTGAGTGCTTAGCAAACCTCCCAAGTGCATCCATAACTCCATGGTTGCAGAGCTGCAACGTTTACCATTTCTTTTATAACATAATTAAAAGAGAAAAACATTATTTTCCATTTGCCTTCGGTAGAGTCATCGGTCCGAGTTCATGTATGCTGTCATCTGCCCGCGCGTAAACAAATCAAGTTCTATATGTTTTTCAAAAACTTGCCTTTGAGTTTTTCTTTCGCTGAATCAACCGTTCTCCGTCTTCAGGTAAATTGCAAAACGTTTTTTGTCGTTATTGTGAATGGCATCTGTCTACTTGCTCTTAATATTAGGGTAAAAACTTTGAGGGAAAACTATAGCTGCAACTATAAACACCAACTAAAAAGACTCTAAAAATAAGCTAAAACTAAATATATGAAATAATTATCAAGCTTATTTATGTGACAATTTTTTAAATAAACGTTAAGTAGAAATGAGAAAATTTGACTGTAATTCCTTTAGAATAGCAGGTAACACTAATTTTAAAAAGAAATTAACTAGCTTGTATCGAAATCTGTCTGGGGAAATCCAGCTACTGAAAGTCAACTGAAATTCGCCGACACACAGCCGGCGCTGAAGCTGTTGTTTTTCGACTTTTCCCTGAATGACTGTTATGAATGAACACTGAGGAACAAAATAATACACACAGAAGTTATTTTTTGAAAAATTTATTTGAAAACCCAAATGTTTCTGTACTCAAATGAAATTCGCTTATTCCAGCGTAATGTGCCCGTTTAAACTCAACTAAAATTTTTAATCGATGCGATGAAAACTTCACAACAAAGCTGTCTCGAATTTGAGCGTGTTTCCTAAAATATTTGCTTGAATTCAGCATCAGCTTGACCAAAAAGTCAATAACACAATGCTAACTGATAAATTTACATTTCAAAGAGACTTTCTCTTCTATAAAAAACACACAAAATGTGCCTTAAATTTTCGCTTGCGCGATTTTCCTTCAGCCGATTCTAGCCGCGAGGAAAACAGTGATTAATTCATCCAGGGCAAATTTGTCGCTTGATCTTTTGTCTTTTTTCCTTCAAAACGACAGCTTAGTATTTTCTTCAACTTCCACTTTTCATCTGTGCATTTCATCTGTGTATTTTACCATTTTAGAAATAACTCCAAAAGCCGGTTTAACAGGAAAAATTGCGATGGCATCACATCACATATTAATAGCCACGATTAGTTTATATAATAAACAATTTCATCGTTATTTTGGCTTAGAAAATGTTTAATTTTGTGTACTTTAGGTTAGATGATATTTACTTTCGGTCAAAATGGCGGCCAGTTTAATTTTCACTCCAAAAACCAGTTTAACAGGAAAATTTGCGATGGCACCATATCACATATTAGTAGTCATAATTAGTTCTGTCATTCCTGAAAATTTGGTGCTTTTAACAAAAAGTGAACAATCCGGCCCCAAATCTGCACATATCCGCCCCACTATACCGCGCTAGCTCAGTTTCTTGGCGTGCACCCACGGGCAAATGGTAGTGGCTAACTGACCAATCAGAGCGCGCGATTTACTTTTGTTATGTTATAAAAGGAATTGACTCAGTCGCATTCGCGCTTAAAGCCCGTTACATGTTTGTGCAGTCCAAATCAGTTACCTTTTGGCAGCATTATTTAAAGGAGCTAAGGCACGAAATTCAGACAAATTAGGTAATTACAAAATGCCCGTTAAATTAAGAGAAACGTAAAAATAACCGCTTAAAACATTAAAGGAAGGTTAAAGTAACATAACAGAAACAACAGATGCAGCAGATGGGCAAAACTGAAGAAGATTGAAACAGATTGAAATAAGGGTTTTTGAAAACTGTTCAGCCTAACAGTTTTTCAAAGTTGATCCCTGCTGCTTGCAACTTCAAAAATAATGCTCAGGAGACATATTTTTGTGTTTCGGATCTCTGATTTTGCCATTTACATGTCATTTCGTTGCTTACTTTACGTTCCATAGTGATTGAAGGCGAGTCAGATTGACAAAATTAAACAAAATGAACTGGACTCTGCCGTAACACAGCCCCTTTAACTTTTTACCATTTTTTTTTATTTGTATTTTAGTTGCATGCCTTCAAGGACGAGAAATGACTTTGTACATGCGTAAGGTTTTGACCTCACCTCAGCCTTCTTTTTCGAGTATGTCCCTAGCTGCTTTGAAATATAACAAGCAAGAGGATTCTTCAGTCAGAAGACAAGTACGAAAGTTGGTCTTGATACGCAGAATTAAAGTCATTTCTTGCACTGTTTTTCAATGCTTGATCACCACTGCTTCGTAGCTACAACCAGTTGCAAAAATATTGAGACACTCCCGCGAAAAAGCGACATTTCCTTCCTAAAATCACTGCTAGTCACAGGTCTTTGAGGTATAACACTCACCTCCCTCCTCCCCTCCATTCATAGTTATTCCTCCAAGTCGTTACAATGGATTTGTATTGCTGGCAACTTTGATAAGGGGTGGCCAGGAGGGGGATCACAAATAAAAGATCATTGACAGGCCATTAAAGCCAAACTATGGTAGTGTCTCAAGTACTTTTACAACTGGTTGTACCCTGGGAAAGACGGGGAATAGGTCTGCCTTCGCAGTCTTCTAATTTATGTAGCTTGTTTTGACAAAACGTTTTTTTAGTCCGGTCATACGCCCCTCTATCCCCCCTTCACCTCCACTCCCGTTTGTAAGCTCTCCTAAAACCCCTTAAGGACTTGTATAAGCCCAGCTATTGTAAGCGGACGTTTGCGGTAAATTCTCGACGCTGAAATACAGGAACGATGTTTCGAGAACATAGTTCCATAATCACAGCTTGTCTTGCTCGATCGATCAAACGTTGCCTTTAAAGCTCGAGTACCTGGATACGGTGTTTTTTATCCGTAAATTTAAGCTCAATATCTACAAACAAATTCTCCACATTGATCTTCATACATTCCTTGAATAATCAGTTGAGAGAATTTTACAAAAGATCACAAAGCGTTTTCTCTCTGGTGATCCTTTCTTTATTATGTCTCATACCGTTTTCTCTTGATTATGTATATTGATACAGTTAAAGGTTAAATAGTGTCTTGATGGATCATTTTTGACAGTCGTTTATCTTGTCAGTTTCTCAAGCTTATTTTTTTCACAATTAAATGCCCGAGGCAGTTGTTCAAAGGTTTCCTTCCAGACTTAGTGCTTAATCGATAGGAGTATTGGAAATAAGTATTTCCTTCATCATCGTAACGCTCAAAAAGCCATTATTCACAGAAAGTGCACTTCTTACTCTGGAATTGACAGGTTTCATCAATTTTAGAAGTCCGCCAAACTGCTTGAAGATTGCTGTAATTAGTCATTTATTGGTAGCGTTCTCTTATTTGGTGGTTGTGGTTAGGTAGTAGCTATTTGTGGGTCTTTATGCTTCACCAATTCAATGGTATGCTCCTAGACTAGCAAGTGTTTTATTAGCAGAAACAAAGCACGCGAAAACCTTCAAATCTTTGTCAAACATGCACATGCACAGTGAATTCATAACGCTTCTTAGCAGCAGAGGTGCTATCGCTTGGAAATCCGTCAGTTTAATAAATGATGATAAATCGACCTAAAAAATATCGGGGCATTCGAGTTCGTCGGAGCATGCACAAAATCTTTAGGGCAGTAGCGACGTACAAGCGGCGAAAAAAGGCTCAGTTTTTAAAATACTTACTGTCTTTATGTCTTAGCTGATACTCGTATTCTTAGTTCGCGATCACCTGTTAATGGAGGCCTTCATTTCCTAGGTGTGCAAAAATGTAAAACTTAGACCGGTGATATGCATAATCTTTGAATGTTCCACCTGACTGAGGTGTATTGACTTCTAACTCACTTCAACACTTAAATGGCCTCTTTACGGAATAAGACGTCTTTAAAAAACGAATAGATTGTCAACAGTTTACTGAACTTACTTCTACAGTAGCACACTAAATTAAATCAAATTTAGATAATGTACCGGCTTGGAACAGGCGTACTAGCTCAATCAAAATGCACGGCAAATCCAAGGATCTGCAACCGTGACAAGAATCAACAACTAGTTCATTGGCAACAAATAACAGCCACTGATCTTTAAATCAATGGTACCCTCACCCTCTTGCCAAACCAAGCAAAGTCACCCTTACTTAAAAATCAAGGGTTAAACTAAATCAGAACGCGCGAAAGTCTGTGGTGAAGCTGCAGTCAGTCATGGAGATATGCATGGGCTCGTTTCAAACGCGGAACTTTTCATCATCCGAACCTATCTCGAAATAAGGCCGAGCTAAATTATTTAGATCGGTTGAATTGATTCAGACTCCGATCTTAACTCCAGCCAAAATAAATTCAAAAGGAGAAAAATGCTCATTTCCGTCAAACTGCTTTCAAAATACGTTATAATAATTCATGCATTAGGTTCGGCACATGAAAAATTCGGCGACTGAATCAAGGCCGTTCCAAAGTCGATCCAAAGTCGAAATTCCCTGCTGGGCTAGGCGGGAAGAACGGCTGAGCCGTTCCAAATTGAAATAGACGTTCCTAACTGATTCAGACGCCGAACTTTTCAAGTATTTTAGCAATCTGTTAGGTTCGGCTCATGAAAAGTCCGGCGTCTGAACCGGGTCTAAGTCTTTGAAGACTTTAATTGAAATCCTACAGTATGACCATGCTAATGAAACATCTTGAGGAGTCGTTTAACATGGCAGTACAGCACTATAAACAACAACAAACAGTTTTGTTTTTTTTCGTGCTGTAATTCATGGCCACTTCTGAAT